CGAAGCACCAGCAATTGAGCACACAACAATTGAACACGCAACATATCTGAATCACATTCTTGTTTCTCTTCCTGAAAACTTCCTGTCACTCTATGCTACATGCATGTCAAATAAAGAGAGTCAAACGCCCAGAAATGCAATAACGTGCACAATATAAGCTATAAAACATGTCTAACGTGTCCTTTTGCTTTTCTGCGCATCACCGAAACAAATGCATCCAGAAGTAAATCCACTAGAAGGAAAGGACCTCGACTGCACTAATGTGAGCACGTGTGCAGAAAACCCATCCACTCCACAGATTAATAATTTAGAGCTGAGTGTCTTAAACGTTCTTCTGAAGCACCCGAGACCCTCCTGCCCCAGAAAACAGGTGTCTGACTGCGAATCCCCACAAGCTGAGCGAGATGAATAGCGGGTCTGGTTTGGGTTGTGTAGTCAGCTGGATTGCGTCTGATAATGGCGGGTGAAGATTTCTGGGTCGCAGGGGTTAATGGCACGAAACAGAACCCAGTTGCTAATTACATGTTCCGAACTATTTATCAGATTCTCCATCTGCACAGCACCACGACTCTCATTGTGCACGCTAAATTACTCCTCGGATTATCTTTGTAAAGCAAGTTTTCATAATTAGGGCCCTGCGTGGATGTTTTCTCTCTGCGAGCGCCAACAGACACTGAGAGAAAATTAGCTGACTGGTTAATTCGGGCCTGACATCTTAAACCAGCGACTCGAAAGCATCTGCTCCTGGTCAAAACATCCTAAAAGAAAGTGAACCAGATTCCTGCTAAATACCCCAAATAGATCCCTATCATAAGATCACAGATCTAATATGATATTGTAGGAATATTATATTGGAGCAAATCAAAAGGGACAGTTTAAGGGTTAGTTTAACCAAAAATTAAAATTGTTAATAAAAAAGCCATAAACTACCATGAAAGTAGTCCATTAGACTCCGTAAGTGATATATAACCTGAATTTTCATTTCTGGATAAAATATTTCTTTAAATGACAGGAGTTTTAAAATCCCCCAAAAATGTTTAACCCTATGAAGCCTACTGAGGCAAATTTCTAAGGCCTCTAAATGACCACAACTTCGCTGTCCACAATCTACTACAAGCCTTCTGTCGTCTGATTGAGAGTTTAGACTTTATCAAGTTAAAGGTCTTTTGGTATAATTGTACAAATGTCCTCCTTCAGCTCGTGCTTCACGTGTCTTTTTGCTGTCAGATCTTTACTGATTTTTATAATGTGACCGTAAGAATCATTTTTATATTGTTAGTAATATTTCAAGATGAACACTTACTGGACTGAAGCAGGTTTACTTGATTATCCATCTATAATTTGTCAGAAAAATCATGCAAGTATCAAATATGATCTTCAGGCTTTTGAGGAACTTTTATTTGTTCATCTTTGTATAATCATTGCATTGCATTGCATTATATGTTTTGATCATCAAACTAAGCATTTAAATATCATCTTACTAGGACATATTATTGGGAGATATAGAGGGATGACTGATATTTATATGCATTTTATGCAAGTAGTCTGTTATATTGTTATAAAGATCTCATTGAATTGCACTTTTTGGCCATATAAATATCAGCATCTGCACCAAATTGCATATTTTTGAATAAAACTGAAGCATTTTTTCTTTCATATTCTCACTATATGAGCCACAAAAGCCTGAAAGATCAAATATAATACTCAACAAAAAACACATATGCTTTGTTTAAAGCTTCAATATACTGTTCTTTTTTTAAAAAAAGTAAATTTTTCATTATTATTCGACTATTATTTCTTATGTCAGGCTTTAAACGGTTAATTTCCCTATGGCATCCTAAAGGTGCTTTATTAGTCCAATCGGCAGTGATTTACTCTTTGTTTGACTAGGGCCTCTTTTTCATGTGCTTGGCAAAAGTTTGAAACCATTTTCCCATCTTAAGGTGAGCGCTGTGTGGCGTAACACTTCTCAAATGGAGAAAAAGGCTGGAACACCTCTCCGATATCAGACCCAGCGGTGCGGCCGACTCTATTAAGACACACACGCCGTCGGACGCAAGCCTCCTCGCAGTAAATTTTATTAAAATTACCTACATTATAAGACACTCTTCATTATAAAACCAAAAAGTGCTGCTGGTCTCCCAGGGCCTTTGGATTAATAAGGACAGCGATGTATTTTAAGCCGTAAACTCGACTTCTTACTGTCCTTAATCTCCTTTCCACTTCACAGGCCAAATTAACACCTCTCCCCGGCTCTGACGGGACCTCATTAGCTCACTTCCACTCCGAAAGAGAAAAGAACAGGAAAGAAGAAGAGAAGACGACGATGAAGAAGGAGGAGGAGGAGGAGGAGGGAGACGACCAATGACAGCCACCAGCTCGGGGATTAACCCTTTCACGCGACCAACGCTTCGGGAATCTAGGTCGACGCGCGTTTCTAATCAGCCGCCTGGTTAACGATAATTAGCAGGCGCGGCAGGAGGGGAGGAGAGGGAGGGACGCGCAGAAATGAAACAGAAAAAGAAAAGAGAAACCTGTCATGGCACAAACACTTCAAAGCAGACGACTTCTCTTTTAAAAGTGGCACAATAAGGGTCCAAGAACCACCGGGGACCTCGAGAAAGCACGGCGCTGAAGAAGGGAGGAGAACGAGGGCCGAAGAGACCTAAAACACACACACACACACGCTTCAGAGGGACCCAGAACACGCAAACACACTCCACCTACATAACGCTGCAAGCTCGCGTAGTTTACTCTCACTGTTAAACTTCTCCAGCAGTAAGTGGTCCCTGTGAAGTTTACCCATCATGCATCTCTCAGTCAGGGCTGCTCTAGATCTACAAATTATAAAATGCATAGGTCGTTCCAGTCGTGCAAAAACCTAGTATTGTAATAATTATGACACCTGTTCACCAGCAACATCACTGCACAGCAGCCAAAAAAAACAACAACAATTAACCTCTATGTCAGGATCTAAATGCCAAAATAAAATAAAATAAAATAAAATAAAATAAAATAAAATAAAATAAAATAAAATAAAATAAAATAAAATAAAATAAAATAAAATAAAATAAAATAAAATAAAATAAAATAAAATAAAATAAAATAAAATAAAATAAAATAAAATAAAATAAAATAAAATAAAATAAAATAAAATAAAATAAAATAAAATAAAATAAAATAAAATAATCTTAAAAGGTTATAAAAATGTGTCTATAACATTTTTATTATATATGAACCATTTTAAAAAAAGCAATAAGGGACTCAAGGCACTCATGCTATATTGTGAGTATATTCGTCATCATGTTGTAAAGGTTCCCACACCATATAAAGAATGAATAACTATGACTTTTCCAGTTGTTCATGATCACAGGATATGATTTTTTTTAAAGATTGCATTCATAAAAATTGCACAAAATATTTAAGAGCGGTTCACAGCTAGAAAAAAAATATATAATTTAACACGATTAAATTAAAAAATAATAATTTATATGAGTTCCAATGAGTTTTCCAGTTGTGATTAAAGTATAAGATTTTTTTTTTTAATCCTTTTGCATAAGTGCATTATGCTTATGAAATATTTTGAAGTAGTGAAAAACAAAAAATAAAATACAATTTAAAAAATAAATAAAAGCTAACTTGTTTTTTACTATAAATTTTATATTCACTTTTTTTGAGATTTAAAAAATTCCTTGATATTTCTAGGATTTCCATTAACCGTGGGAACCCTGATTGTACTTATTAATGCCCTTATGCTATGACTACATTCACCGTATAGCACAGCAACAAGTCTTATTGCTTAAATCAATGTAAAAGCCTGTTTGCAACTCACTTTACTTTCATAATCAGACACATTTCCGAGTAAAAACAAGATGTAAAAAAAAAAAAAGTGAATAAAGGCCAAGACTTTATCCACTGTGAATAGATCATGAAAACATGCATAGCAGGTTTAATGGGACAGACATTTGAAGTTTCCTCTATCGCTCACTTAAGCACTGAGGTTTGTTACCACCGCAGCGCACGTTAAGTATGTTCAACAGGACCTCACACTCACAACGAGCTCTACGCTCAGAAAATCTTGATGAAATTCAATCACAAGTGGCCACTGGAGACAGATCCGAGCATGTCAATAACAGACATGAGCGGCGATATGTCACGACTAACCACTTGTGATTGGATGATAAAGGGATAGTTCATAATTTTCTCATTCTCAAGTTGTTTCAAACCTGCATGAGTTTCTTTCTTCTGTTGAGCACAAAAGAAAATATTTTGAAGAATGTGGCTAACCAAAAAGCTTCTGGTCCCCATTGATTTCCATAGTATTTTTTCTATTGAAGTCAATGGCTACCGTTAACTTTTTGATTACCAACATTCTTCAAAATATCTTCTTTTATGTTCAACAGAAGAAAGAAACTCATACAAGTTTGGAACAACTTGTATGGTTCATTTTTGGGTAAACTATCCCTTTAATATCAGGCCTAAAACACTTTTTCATGAAAATGCCATTGCATTCCCGCACAACAGAACATCATGTGGCCAGCTGGACTCTGTGACAGCAGTGAATCACTCCTGATGAGACGGGAAACCTGCGCAATCATTCAGTATGCCGGAGCTTTCTGGACCACAGACGAGGATCGCAAATATGATTTATGATCTGCTGTTTAATGGCTCGAACACTGGCTTTGAGAGGAGATCAGATGACTTTCTCGACAGGAGCATGTCAGGGTAGGAACAGGGAGTGCACCATTACAACAGCATGACAGAGAGAGTGAGAGAGGCCTCCAGTACTCCTGCGTCTTAATGGAGGAGAGATGCTACTTAAGTCTGACGGGAAAATGATACCAGTCAATAGAGCGAAGGGCGGTGGGGGGCACAGATACGGATGACGTGATGCTGAGAGAGTTTTGATCCCTGGGAAAGGCAGCAAACGGCTACATAAAACATAGAAACAATGACGGATGCCTAAATGCAATCAACTGATTTGGATGTTATTTCATGTATTAATATACAAATATCTCCAGCATGAACAGATATGAGAGCTGCAATGTTTTTGAGGTGGATATGATGTTGTCTGCATTAAACGGGGAGTGCTGACTGACCTGAGCTTGGAAACTCTTGAGGACGGGCGAAACCATCTCCAACACCTCCTAAACACAGAGAACAAAACTGATGAATCCTAATAATAATAATAATAATAATAATAATATTATTAATAAAAGTCACAATGCAAAAGATTCTAATCATCATAAAATAGGTTATATTTTATTTATGCAAAATATATTTAAATATAATTTTTGCTCTTGATTTTGGGGTGAAGAATGACCTTTTACTTTCTTTTCTTTTTTGGAGTCAAATGGCATTTCACAGTTAAGAAAATGCAATTCCCTATACTTCTATTCCCAACATTTGGTGCATCTAACAAATTCTAAGCTAAAACTAATAAAATAAAACATAATAAAAACAATATAAAATGTGAAACAACAACATATAATAAAATAACAATATGATAAAATATAAAGTAATATATAAAAATAAAATCTAATTCAAAATATGAAAAAAAACATTGGTGTACAGCTTCAGTTGTCTATGGATCAAATCATTTCACCATGACTTGTAAACGTTAAAAAATATCATGATAAACGTTAAAAAATGCTTAACCTTGAACAATATACATGTTAACAATGAGACTAGTATGACAGAGACACTCACTGACTTTGTCACTACAAACTTGTATGCAGTATTTCAAGAGAAAACTCACATTGAATTACATTGGTAACAAATAACCAGAAGTTCATCCACCTAAAACAGTAGTCCTACTACTAAAAGGCATGATAATTCAGCTCAAATAACATTAAACAACTAATCTATCAAATGTATGAGTTCTGCTTTTAAATCAGTTTTCCCCCATAGACGTCCATTGTATATGCATTAGTATTGTAAATCAAAATAAAAAAGAAGATTGTCTGTGGTAATCAATACGTCTCATACAGTATGTTGTTAAAAAATGTTGTAATGAACCGAGAACCTTTGGCTGAAGACAATAACAACTTCTCCATTAACTAGGGTGACCATACGTGCCATTTTCCCAGGACGTCCTGGCCAGGATTTCTATATTGCCTAAAATATCTAGGTTTTGGCTTTGTTTGCGTGTGCAGACCGATCGGTGTATGACATCAAAGTACCATACAGACCATGCTTTCGAAACGCTCTCGAGGTACTTTGATGTCAAACACTGATAGGTCTGAGCCGCACTGCTTTTAAGTCGAACACACATAATATGTACGCGTAATTGCATCGCTTTGACCATAGATCCCACCTTCTCACACGCCATGATTGGTCCATTATGTACAATGCTTGCATGTTATTGGTCAAACTACTTTTCGATCATTACCTTCAGCAAGCATGAAAACAGGAAAACAAAGCCAAAACAAATCCTGGCCAGGACGCGTCCTGGGAAAATGGCACGTATGGTCACCCTACAAATATGTTGTTCATAAGAAGCATAAGAAGTCATATCCACGAGAAATGGATGTTGTTCCCTCAACATAGGATCTCGTGGCCACGACATAAAGATGTCTTTACCTCGACAAAATGAAAATGACCACAACATATTATCACGTTCCCATGAGTTAATATGACATTCCCACAAATTAATATCTCGTGGCCATGACACATTAACACGTTCCCACGAGTTAATATGTCGTGGTCACGACAAAACTAAGTGAACCAAACATGTCCCCTCCCGGTCACCGTACAAGACAGTTCAAAGCAGAACCATATGGATTAGCCGGTACACTGCTGCTCTGTTAAGTGATTTCTTGAAACTTGCCTCATCTTTCATTATATGACAGGGAGTTTTCTTCCACTCCCCCGCACCCATCAATCCATCACAGAACCTCCTGTACAACATTTACAGGGGTATTTACTGGTGCATTCAAAGCATTGGCTTGCATTGAAGCTCAAGGCTAGACCATTCTCCGTAAGCCTTTGATGAAAGCTTTAAGAGAAGCTGTATCAATACTATTGGCATCTGTCAAAGACAGAAGGACATACATTTTAGAGAAGATGTCAAGCGTCAAGATACAACAGACTCGAGGTTTAAAACGAGACAATGCCAGTGGTGCTGTGAAGAGCTAGGTAAGTCAATGAGAGCTAATAGCTAGCACTTTCAGTCTGATTAGATTTACCCATTGGAAAGTCATTACACTAGAAGCTGTGGCTCCAGGGTTTCCCCGCAACCTTTTACAAGAGTGCATCAATTATACATAGCAGTCGTTTGTCAAATTGATTTGAAAAAACGAGATGTTCTGTTTGCACTTCTGTCTTTTCCTTATGTCTCGAAAATGATAAGTGATGTCTGTATTAGTGGATGTTAGATTAAGCGCCTCATTTAGAATAACATTCTGAGTGGTGATGAAATATTCAGTAAAGCATGCCGAGGCTCATTATTGATCATATTAGGAATTGTTAAAGGAAAATAAAGGGAGGGTAAAGGTTGTCTTCATTAGCATAATTAATTGAAAACAGTCAGAGCATGACACACAAAGGACTGAATTGAATCAAGTACATCGATGGATTCCTCTTTGACATTCAGGGAATCCGCAGTAGGGTTGTCAGGACTTTGAAGAAGTGGTGTAATTTGTAGACCAAGCATTCAGTGGAGCATATCTCTGCATCATGACATATCATTTGTGGGCCTCTTGACACTCCTGACTTTATTTTTCTGTGGTTTTCCTCTGCATTTATGGATCAGCGGTCATTTCTATTGAAGCTAAAATCGAATGCGATTGGCTTAGCTCCCAAAATCCTTAAAACCTTGGAGCTTGTACAACCAAAATTTTTATAGCCCAGACAATAAAGTCTCCTAGGTATCAACATTGTGGAGCTGAGCCTGGGACCGACCCGAGCGGAGCTCTCTGTAGCCAGTGCCAATCACTTCATGCGTATTTACCATGGCAGTCAAACATACTGACCCCTTGAAGCTCAGCAACATTACCATTCGTTTAATTTCATTCGCCACATTTTAAACAGCCAAGATTCTTCAGGATAAATCAATGCTTATGAACTGCCAACTTTATATGGATGGCGTGTTTAAAAGGTGCTGCCAGCACCTCTCATTCACATTCCTTGACACTTGCACACTTACTTCAAGGGTTTGGAGCTGGTATGCCATGACTAGAGTGATAAATAAGAAATAAACTGCATAAACAGAAAATGCTGGAAGCATGTAATACTATATATTATTCTTTATCAGCAGGCCCAGAATCTTAGGATTTTTTCACATTTTCTAGCTATTGATTTTTGGGGGAAATCCTGTGAAATGGATTTAAATAAGTGAAATGTGTCTTAATGGTAGCTGAAAGCATGAATCAAATTCACCAAAATATTTAATAAGCAAACACGTGATTTTGTAGAAAAGGTGCAGATTCTGTGTGATCCTGCTTGTTATTCTTGTGATTTCCTACTGTATGTATCAGTAATTTTACAGTATTTCCCTAATTAGTCCTCAGGTCCAGAGTTTCCCTATCTGCCTCGTTAGTTTTGTGTATTTGTACAGACGCACACTAGATTATGCCTGCTTCCTGTAGGTGACATGGTTCTTGCAATGGTGAAGAAATTAGAAATATGCAAAATTCAGCAACAGACCTTGAATACGTTCAGAGAACAGATGGCAGACTGCAAGAGATGGTATTTAAGAGGCTATCATTACTTGGAAAAGCACCAGAGAAGAGCGTGTGGAATGTGAGAGAGGGAAATCTCAAGTCATCCATCTCTGAAAATGCTTCACAGTGAATAGAAACACCAATTAGTTAAAGTTACATGGGCATCTCTTCCCACAAAAACCAGTAGCTCGCAGCTCTTAGCTGCACAACTCTGAAACGCTGATAGCTTGCAAAACATCCAAAAGAAAGAAAGAAAGAAAGAAAG